ACATTTTTCACTGAGCAGTTTTGAAAAAGAAATTGCACATATTTTACATAGATAAAGCCCTTCGTAAGGTGTAGGCTCTACTTGTGAGTACAATTTTTATAGTTATTATTATTATTATTATATTTCCTACGGGACAATAGCCTAGTAGATTAAAGTGATATTTTGTAAATTTGGTGATATCGTAATTGTCAGTTCAATTCAGGTCAAGTCAGTGTTTACATGGACTAAGAAAAGAACCAGACGAAATATCCCTAGATATCGCCAATGGAAAGAGAACAGTCTACCTACAAAAATGAAACAGAGTGTTTAGTTCGGAATTACCTGTAGGTTACCCAGAGCGACATACACATGATGAAGGTCGGGTGTTGGGGGACAACGGCCAAATCGTTCTGATAACAACACAGATGAGGATAATAGTCCGAACGCAAATAGTGTAAATTATATTTCCGTTTTGCAAAACCCCTTACTGGGTCATTACTCGAAACCTGGGGTATGGTGTGGTTGTAATTATATGTATTCTGTTTGCACAATTTCTGATGTTAAATGCTACTTAATAATGTAGATTTTTTATATTCTCCTTATATTGATAAGACACTTGAGTAGATCAACATTTTTCCACTCAGCTCAATGTTTTAAATTCATTATAAACATGGACTATGAGAGATTTTGTTAATGTCCTTGTATGTATATTTCTTTATCCTACCTAGGGTTTTAATTATTATACGTATAAGTTTTAAGATGTCACAACTTTCGTCTTATTTTTTTAGCAGATATATTTTTATCTGCTGACACTGCTATATCTATGAGAAAACATTTTTATAGTCTTTAAACACAATGTCTAGTGTGTTAGCTTTATTATAATAATAATAATTATTTTAAAAATATATATTTAACCTGCATTGGTTTTATAATCCCATGTTGATTTATAACTAATGACCCGACAGCAAGCGAAGGATGTGATTGTTTTGTTTTGTCTCTTATTTAAACAAAAGATACCTATAAACAAAAACATTTAAATCGACAAAATTCTTCGCAAAATATGAACGGTGCTTATTAGAACTGTTTTTTTTTAATTCCTGAAGCGATGGTGCACCAGGGATTTTGTTGGTTTGTTCTTGAGTTCCTTTCTTAATCAGACACAAAGCTCCATCCACAAAAGGAACAGTTTTAGTTTTTTAAGTGCAATATTTTGTTTTATCTCTATCTCCAGGGTCTTGTATTAAGTAACATTATTATTATTATTATTATTATTATTATTATTATTTCCTTTGATTTCTGTTGTAAATTCATTTCTTTTCGGGTCCTAACCAGAGACCAAAGTCCAGAAATGTCATGATATTTTCGCTGAGCATTTTTTTTAGAAAAGCAAAATCAGAAGATCACACACATTTTACATTTCGTAAGATTTTGTACAGTACTTGAAAATATTATTATTATTTCTATTATTATTTTCTATATTCGTTGAGCTTTCATACAAGTCCTGTTTGCAGGTTCTTATTGGAGATAATGTGGCAGCAAGTCTCCCCCTGAATTCCAGGACTATCTGATTTAGTAATATTAACAGTTGCATAACACGTTGAATATTACGTTGAAACACCGGTTCTTGTACGATCAACAAAGTTAAGCAACATTAAGTGTGGTCAGTACCTAGAGGGGGACCGATTATGAATAGCAGGTGCGGATTGTGTAATGGATAACGGCTCGGAATTGGCAATCATAGAGCCGAATTTCAATTCCAGTCGGGTTCATTACATTCACTTACGCGCAAATAACCTTGGAGAAGGTATGAATCTACATGTTCTCCTCTCCCATTTATAGGTTAATTAGTATAGCATATATCAGCCAAAATCATTATCATCTCCCCACAAAATATATTTTCTGGATTTAAATTAACTGCAAAAGGTTGATAAGCCATAAAAAAGAAATCAATCATTCAGTCTTCGAGTGGTACCGCTGCCACTTTTATGTTCCTCATTATTATTATTATTATTATTATTATTATTATTATTACCAGTGATTATTAGTATGCCTTGCGAGATGAAATTTCAAAATCTTTCTCAATATTCACGTCGTCTTCATTCTTCTTTTTCTTCTTATTCCTTTGCTCCCACTTCATCTTCTTGTTATTGGCATTATTATTATTATTATTATTATTATTATTATTATTATTATTATTATTATTATTATTATTATTCAGTAGTATCTTGTGTATGCTCTTGTTGGGAATCAACAAACAAGCAAAAAGTTTATTCAATACTCCCATTAATATTGCTGCTAATTTAAGTCATATATTTATTTGAATACTTTCTTCGAGTATTGTCTTGAATTTATATATATATATATATATATATATATATATATATATATATATATATATATATATATATATATATATAATATTCAATATATATATATATATATATATATATATATATATATATATATATATATATATGTGTGTGTGTGTGTGTGTACATACATCCAAGATAATACTGAAGAAGACTATTCAAATAAATATACGACTTAAATTAGCAAAATATTAATGGATGTATGTCATATATTCATTTGAATAGTCTTCTTCTGAGTATTGTCTTGAATGAATATATCTATATCTATATCTATATATATATATATATATATATATATATATATATATATAGATATAGATATAGATATATGGGGGGTATATACAGTAAAGTTCAAATATTTGAAGCCAGCACTAGAATTGGCATGTGATGAACTTGAAAGAAGAGTAAAAAAAATAAAAAAAGTGCTCTTAGAGTCATTGAAAAATAATGGAATCAATTGTCATACTTGAACTTTGAGAAACTTTTGCAAGGAATGCTAAAAATTTGTGCTGCAATAATCAACGCTAAAGGCGGATATTTGACGAGAGTAAAATTTAATTATAATTTTTTTTCTTTTTATATAATAAAATTTCTAATAAAAATTATATCTCACTTTTTTTTAATCACGTATAATAATTTTCTTTCATTTTGGTAGAAAACAACTACTTTTGGGGCCTGTTTAAAAAAATTAACAGGAGTGCCTCGAACTTTTGAACAGTCGTGCATATAAAAGCAATTACTAAAGCATTAATGGATTTTTCTTTATTAATCCGTCATAATTTTATTTACAATAAACTGAGTGTTTACGCAAAAATGGTTATCCACTAAAAAATAACGTTTAAAGTATTTTTTATTTATCTAATAATTGTTCCATGTTACTTTGGTTTTTCACTATTTCTCGTTCAATCTCACAAGCTGATGTTCTAAAACGAGGACATCAACCTATTATTATTATTATTATTATTATTATTATTATTATTAATAGTATTAATAGTAGTATACTCGTTGAGTGTTTCACACGTGTCGTAACTGGTGGCCTAATGTCGGGATTAAGAGACATTAAATTTACTGACTACTACTGCATGCTTATTGGAGCTGTTTCCTGTAATGTTGCCTCCTGGATTAAATTCAATTTTTACTCTGATTTCTAGCATTGTCAACCGTTTTCCATAGGTATGTTCAGAATATTCCAGTGTTCAGATAATGATAAGCACGACTGCTTCATTCATGTTCCACATCTTCCTCAAAATCCTGGCAAATTCAAGATAATTAGTTATATTTTCATTTAATTTCAAATTTACTGGGGTTCACTGAAATATCAAAATATAGTATCTCGAAAGTGATTATTATTATTATTATTATTATTATTATTATTATTATTATTACTGTACTTGTCGTTGTTATTGTTATTATGAAAGTTGTTATTATTAATGTTATTATTATTGTGTTTTTGTTTTTCTTCTACTAATTGTCATTATCATTTCTATTGCACTTGTTAATTATCATAACCTTTAAATAATGATTATAATTTTTTAAATGTGAATAATTAAAAATTGGTCCTTGAAAGTAATATCAATTAAAATAGATATATTAATACTACGCATTTTTAATAATAATAATAATAATAATAATAATAATAATAATAATAATAATAATAATAATAATAATAATAAAGAAAAGGAATGCCTCTGTGTGTGTTTATTAATACTACTAATAAATATACATTTTTTTCGCACTGTTCAGTACAACTCTGAATTTTATACACAATCGTTTGGTTTCACTGTATGCCATATATATATATATATATATATATATATATATATATATATATATATATATATATATATATATATATATATATAAAATAAAAATCTAGTTTTTAAGTTATGCTATATTCATGGCTTAAAGTGCTTGATATCAGCGCGCGTAGCAACGGAATTTCCCATTATTAAATAGTGAAAACAGTTTGATAATCCATTGAATTAAAAATTAAAATGTTAAAAAAAACAAAGTTTCCATTTAGCGTTCTTCGGTATTTGTTATTATTAATGATTTAAAATAAATTTCTTCCTTCATGCGATAATAGAGTCATCCGTATCGATAAAAAAAGATTTTTACAAGCACCTATAACAAATTATTTAAACATGACCGTCATTTTTGTACGGCACAATTAAGTTAACAACAACAACAACAATAATAATTATAAATAATAATAATTGATAACCTCTAAATAACAAGTTACATATAATGTTTGTATGTTGATTAGCAATGAACACATATCACATATTACTTCATAAGAAAAATATTTATGGCAATAAAAAGCGAGCAATATTAATTTGCATATTGTAACTAATTGTTAATAAGTTTAATTTTGGATTAGGTTACAAGTGTGTGGCATCTAGTGAGGAACAAATCCGTAGTAATTTTTAACCAGACGAGTTGAATAATCGTGATCCTGCGCTCTGATGACTTAGGGTAATATAAGTCTATTGCTGTATGACAATGGACGTTTTTTTTTTTCAAAGAATTTTTTCAGTGAATACAAGGCCCAAGATTGACTCAAGAACTGAAGAGAATCTGGTTAATCTAAGAAGGCGAAAGATTGCAACGCAGACAATAACGACAATACGATGACGAGGTTGGTGATAAAACTTTTCGGTAACAATGCTGACAACATCATTAGCGATGACAGTCATAATATCACAAGATAAAGGCGCGGAAGACAAACTCGAGCAACGACGAAAAGGAGGAAGAAAAGTGAGAGAAAAAAATGGACGAAACAGGAACGGAGTCTGTCGCGGAAGTGAGGAATCGAGTTCGCTGTGAGAGAGAAAGAATGAGTGCCAAGTAAAAGAAAGAAAGCAAGAATTAGTCGTGTTCTAACAGAAGATTAAGGGTACGGGCGACTGGGGAAAATGGCGAAATAAAGTTGCTTCCCTGAAAGATTTGGAATTTTATGCTCTTTTCCAGCTTCATTTCTTATTACTTTTTTGCCATACGACAATTTCGGGGAGGGGGGATACAAAGATTCGTACACATACAAATGTTTAATTTATTGTATTTCCAACTAAAGAATAAATATACTTTTCATATAATTATCTGTACACAGATGCATAACTAAATATACATAGAAAACAGAAAATTTTAATTTAATAGAAATAAATCCCATTTATTCATTTTAATGGATGAAAAAAGTATTCGTACAATAAAAAAAATGAATACATAATCTTCATTTAATACTTTGTAGAATAACCATTTTTCACGTCTACAGCAACCAACCTCTTGTAGTTCTCAATTAATGATTTGCAAATTTTAGTTGGTATTTTGTTCCATCTTTCTTCGCATATGGTCTTTAGATCAGGGGTCTCTGTTGGGGCTCTCGATTGGATTTGAATTTTCAAATAAGGCCACAGATTCTCGATTGAATTTAAATCTAGGGACTGACGTGGCCATTTCCGGATATTTACATTATTTTCAGCAACTCATTTTTTCGTAGATTTTGCAGCGTTCTTAGGACTATTATCTTGTTGGAAGATCCAGTCATGAGAAAGTTCAAGATTTTCAACTGAAATCATTACATTTGCTTCCAAAATATTTTAATATCCTGCAGCATTCATTCTATTATTGATATGTTGCCAGTACCTTTTGCAGAAAAACATCCCCAAACCATGATACTGCCAACACCAAATTTTACTATTGGAACTGTGTTCTTTTGTTTGAAGGTATTGTCATCTTTCCTCCATACATGATTTCTAGAATTATGTCCAAACTACTCAGTTTTGGTTTCGTCTGTCCGTAATATGATTTCCCAATACGATTTTCCTTATCCTTATATTCATGAACGAATTTCAACCTGGCATCTGTGTCTTTTCAATAGTAGTGGAGTTTTCCAAAGGGAGCGTGATTTTAGATTGTTCCTATGAATTTCATTGCTTTTTCTCCTTTTAGTGAAAGCGAATCATCCTGCAACTCTTGACGAGTAAACATTGGATTTTGTTTAATTTGACACATTAATTTCCTCGAAGATCTTGAAGAAATTTTCTGTGGAGCACCTGTCTTTCTTTGGTTTTCAAAAGTTTTGAGGTTTTTTTATATCTTGCTATAAATGAACAAATCGTAGTAAATGGAATATTCAGGTTGTCTGAGATTCTTTTGTTCTTTTTACCTTCTTTCCAAAGCTGATCAATCAGTTCTTTTTTTTGTGAATTTGTCACTTCTTAACCTCTTGCAATGATGATAACCTTCTTACACAAATATCAATTACCGAATGTTTTGTTGGTATTTTTTAGGCTTAAGATAACAACTGATAACATTATTGGAACATTATATAATATTCCACTTGACTAATCTAGAGTATTAAAGCAATTGAAAAGTTTAAAAATCTGAAATTTGCAATTTACAAATAATTTTTCATCCATTAAAATGGATAAATAGTATTTATTTCTATTAAATTAGAATTTTCTGTTTTCTATGCATATTTAGTTATTATGCATCTGTGTAATCATATGAAAAGTACGTTTATTCATTAGCTGGATATACAATAAATTAAAAATTTGTGTGTGTAGGAATATTTGTTTCCCTCCACTGTATATATGGACGGTGTCCACTGGATACTTACCATTTCCCGTAGCCCTTTGTCTCTTTCTATATAAAAATTTACCAAACGTAGACATAACACAAAGCCAAAAGTACTGAGCACCCATTGAGTATTGAACGTACTGGTCAGTATTAATTGATCTAGCAAGACCATCTTACAAGCGGTTATACTACGTCGAGGTGCCTTCACCTCTATCTATATAAATAAAAACAAAAACGTTTCTATATCTTTATCTCTGATGATATAATATTGAATGTTATTTGTGTTTAAGTTAGATTATATATATATATATATATATATATATATATATATATATATATATATATATATATATATAAAAATAGATGGGAAAAGACAATATTTATAATGCATTTTTAAAAGCAAAAGCTAAAATAAAACAACCGGTTTCGTCCCAGGACTTATCAAGTTTATTTATTCTGGGAATTTAAAAAGCGTGTAAGTTAATTTTTGATTAACGAATGTAATCGAATGGGGGAAAAAAATTATGAATTTCAAGAAACTAGAGTCCAATAATATTCCGACCCAGCAAGCATTCCCTCTGTTTCCAAAGGGAAGGCTCACGGGATCTGATATACAAGGACTCTAGAACCTTGAGGTGAAATGTGGAGTGGGACCTAGATAAAATTATAAATCGGTCACCACTAAAATTTTCCACATATTTCCTTCTATTTATTAAATGTTCAGCAATAGCAGAACCAGAACTGTTAGTCAGTTGGTTATTCCTGGAGGACAGATTCAAAATCATGGGGGGTAAATGCTGTTTTATTCTCGAATACAAACGCTGGTATATATATATATATATATATATATATATATATATATATATATATATAATATATATATATATATATATATAAAAAAACGCTTGTATATATATATATATATATATATATATATATATATATATATATATAAAGAAAACTGATACCTAAATTTTAAAAGGCATTTTTAAAATGTGAAAACTTTTTGAAGCCTTTATTTTAGATTTAATTTCAAGCTAATAGATTAAATTTAATATTTCCGAAATGCAAAATACTTTACAAACAGAATGTTCATTAATTGGAATTATTTTTTATCATCAGTCAAAAGGCTAAAAATCGCTCATATTGACAAATCTGTCAACACAACCTAATTCCTTTTACTAAATGATCTTTCTTAATAAAATATATTGTTCTGAAATTTTATTTGAGAAAATTAGGTTATTCAAAATTTAATTATTCTGATTTTAAATATAACTTTTAGTTGTTGGTCGATATACATATGTTTGGAAACTTTTGCTAAGGTGGAAGCGTAACTGTAACAATAACTTGAATAAAATATGCACGCCTTTTTTTAAGGAAATATTTCTAATAATATAATAATTTATTGAATTTTAAGGACAGTGGCTTCCTAGTCTAACTTTCGAAGACCCTTGTTAAGGAAATGTTGCGTTTGGCCATCCGTATTTACAAAAATTGACATGGTCATACCTATATAAAAAGAATTCCAAATTAGTTTTAAAATAGTTTGAGTCCTTGAACTGTAGTGGGATTTCCATTTATGATTAGTAAATACAATATTAATTTAATAACAACATAACTTCACAACTACAAATTAATACAGAATTTTTAAAAGTTAATGAGAATTGTTATAACAATTGTTATAAAAATCCATTATTCATCGATAATTTTTTTTGTCTTACGACAATCGTGTCCACAATATATATTATGCATAAAAGCAATCAAAAGCTTTCCTAATTAGATAACGCCCCAGTTTTAATGTTCAGAGCAGATTTTTCTGCAAACGTTTGAGTAAAGAAAATTATGATTTAATTTCTTCAACGGCATGTGCTTATAACTTAAGAAGCTCATGAAAAATGAATTTCTCGAAATTTCATAAAATTATTGTGGCAAGAGTAACAGATGTAAAAAAATATTTTTACGAAGATTTTCTAAAAGGAATGATTTCAAAAATCATTTCATAAATTTGTGAATAAGTTCTGAATGTTTCATTAACTCCGAAATTTTTTCAAGTATTTTCAAATTGTTAGATTTTTCATCGCGAAAATACGGTAAAAATTTCCTATAGTAAATCCTGATTTAAGAAAAAGAAAACATTAACCAAAATTGTATGCGTGTTTGTATATATATATATATATATATATATATATATATATATATATATATATATACACACACACACATATATATATATATATATATATATATATATATATATAAGACCAGATGATTGGTGTTTAGTATGAAACAGGCTTTCGCATCTGGGTGTTAATTCCAATACCCACTTTAGGCTTGTATTGATATATATATAAAGGTAAATGACAATAGGAAAACTGTATTATTAGCCGATGCATTTCGCCCAATGTGGACTTTTTCAAGGCAAAAACGAAATGAATTTATTCAAACAAAGTAAGTATAAACAACAACAAAAAATATCCTTAACAACTCGTTAACTCTGATATATCATACGATGGGTAAATTGGTGTGTAAATAACGCAAAAATGACAATAACACTGACACCTCATTTTAACTAATATTTACTGAAATTGCACTAAAATATCTTGAAATGCTAGAGTAAATTTATTCAATAGAATCGCCAGTGGTTTCAACCTCAGCCTCCCGACGAATTCGGAAACTCCTGCAACTATTCTAGGCTGTTTCCTTGTTTGATAATCATTGCCTTCAGTTTATATTTGGTGTTACAAGGAGAACTTTTTAATCTCTCGGTCAAGTAAGCCCCACACATCATAATCAAAAGGGTTTCAGTTTGGAAAGCTAGGTGGCCAGATATAAGGGGTGATGGCGTCACAGAAATTGTCTGACAGCCATGATTGTGTTCTCCTGCTTGTGTTGCATGGTGTAGTTATGTTGTCGGATATAGTGTCTTCCAGCAGTGTCTTCCCGTGTATATATATATATATATATATATAGAGAGAGAGAGAGAGAGAGAGAGAGGAGAGAGAGAGAGAGAGAGAGAGAGAGAGAGAGAGAGAGATTCCTAGTTAGGTACTATACTAATATAATTTTTCATATTTCTTCCCAGACACGAAAATTATGTTTTTCCTTAAAACACTGCCCCATGACATCTTATATCTTATAACGTTATATACATATGCATATATATATGTGTGTGCGTGTGCGTGTGTGTGTGTGTGTGTGTGTTGTGTAGTGTATCGCACAAAACCGTGGCCCTTAGTTAAGAAATGGAAAATGCATGTGCAGCAGTTCCACGTTTATTGCCTACGCCTATTGCCTACCACTA